CTTTCTTTCTTTCTTTCTTTCTTTCTTTCTTTCTTTCTTTCTTTCTTTCTTTCTTTCTGCCAGTTTGTGGGGCCTTCACTCTGGGCCTGGGCGCTGTCCCTCAGCTCTTCAGCTCAAGGCTAGCACTCTACCACTTGAGCCACCTTCCCAGCCCCTTCTGGCTTTTTCTGCTTATGTGGTGCTGAGGAATCGAACCAGGGCATCATGCATGCAAGGCAAACACTCTACCACTGAGCCACCTTCCCAGCCCCCCTCCATTTCTTTTTCTTCTTTTTGCCCCTCTCCAAACCAGACAGAAAGAAAAATCCTTTTAAATTTTTGTTTGTTTCTTATTGTTATAAAGGTGATATATAGAGGTGCTAGTTACATAAGTTCAGGTAATGAGTAAATTTCTTTTTGAGCAGTGTTGCCCCTTCCTTCCTGCTGGCCAAGGTTTTCCCTCCTGTCTCCTCCCACAAATTGTACAGTTCATTTTCAACATAATGTCTAGTGAGTATGACCGCTGCAGTTGTTCACCTTTTGTCTCTCCATTTCTGTGCCCCCTTTTACTTCTCAAAGACAGATAAATGAACAGATAAGACAAAAAAAACCTCGTTTCCATTTCCTGGAGTTCTTTTCGATAAATAGTATTTTGTATGATCAGATGCACATAGGCATTGCGCCTTTGTGTTCCTCCCCTAAGAGTATCCTCCTTTATTCTCACTATTTGTTAGTCCTGTGTAATTTATCATGTCTTAGTATTTTTAGATCTAGCTTCTCCATATGAGAGAAAATATGCAGTGTTTGTTTCTCGTATGTTTGTAGGGCATTTGGGCTGTTTATATAAATTGGCTGTTGTGAATGGTGTAGCAATGAACATTGATGTGCAAGCGTCTTTATGGTATCCTGGCTTATGATGATGCCCAGGGGTGGTATGGCTAGGTCATAGGAAAGATCTATGTCTAGTTTTTTGAGGAACCTCCAGATTGCTTTCCAGAGTGGTTGTATTAGTTTACATTTCCACCAACAGTGTGATAAGGTTAATTTTTCCCCACATCCCACCAGCATTTGTTGTTCAAATTCTTGATTTTGGCCAATGTAACTGGGGTGAGATGGGATCTCAGAGTTGTTTTGAATTGCATTTTCTTTATGGCAAAGCATGTTAAACATTTCCTCATGGGTTTCTTTGCCATTCTTACCTCTTCTGAGAATTTTCTCCTTAGGTCTTTTTCTCATTTAGTGATTGGTTTATTAGCTTTGGGAAGGGTTAATTTCTTGATCTGTGTATTTTTGATTCTTAGGCTTTTGTTGGATATATTACTGGTGAAGATATACTCTTAGGCTTTTGACTTTCTAGTTTAGTAACTTACGTCCTTTGCTGTGCAGAAGCATATTTTGATGGAATTCCATTTATCAAGTCTCTTTCCTGTCTGCTGTGCCCCTGGGTCTCTTCAAAAAGTTTCTACCTATGCCTCTCAGTCCTAGTGTTTTTCCTACTCGTTCTTGCAGAAATTTCAAGGTTTCACATCTGATATTGAGGTCTTTGATCCACTTTGATTTGATAGTAATACATGGTGACAAACAGGGATCCACTATTAGTTGGCTGCATATGGATGCCCAATTATTGAAGCGACTGTCTTTTTTCTACCATATGTCTTTGGCTCACTTATCAAATAGCAGATAACTGTAGTTACCTGGTTTTATTTCTGGGTCTTCTAGTCTGTTCCATTGATCTTTGGGTCTACTTTTGTGCCAGTACCAAGCTGATATTATATCTCTGTAGTAGAGCTTGAGTTCTGGGATTGTGATGCCACCAGCACTGCATTTTTCTTTTTTCTTTGCCTACAATTACTTTGGCTATTTGAGGTCTTTTTGTTGTTATATGAAGTTTTAGATTGTTTTCTCTGTCTAAATAATGACATGGGGATTTGGATGAGGATTGCATTGAATTTTTAGATCAATTCATTCTACCTTTCCATGAACATGGAAGATCTTTCCATTCTAGGTTACATTTATTTCTACCCTTCCTCCCCCCTTTTTTGAGGCTATTGCAAATGGAGTTTTTTTTCCCTTGATTTCCCTCTCTGATTGTACTTTGTTGGTATAAAGAAAGGCTACTGACTTGTGTTTTTTGTTGTTGTTGTTGTTGTTTTTTGTCGATGGTGGAGCTTGGACTCTGGGCTTGAGGCTGTCCTACAGCTCTTCAGCTCAAGGCTAGCACTCTACTACTTGAGCTATAGCACCACTTTCACTTTTTGGTAGTTTATTGGAGAGAAGAGTTTCACAGACTTTCCTGCCTGGGGTGGCTTTGAACTGAAATCCTCAGATCTCAGCCTCCTGAGTAGCTAGGATTATAGGCTTGAGCCACTGGCGGCCGGCTGTGGGTTAAATTTATCTCCTGCTACTTCGTCTGGTAGTATTCCAGTAAGGCTGGTTGATATTAAGTCCAAACATTAGTTTCTAATTTGCCCTTGATTTGGAAAGTTCTGTAATTCTGCTTATTAAAACTGAAAAGGGAATTACTTTATCCTACTTTCCTATGAGGTTTTTTTAAAATGATAATAGTGTTATCCAAATAGAAACTAGAAGTAAAAATTATTTTGTCTAAAAATTAGTTATAGTGCATGATTCTACACAGGATAATTCCTCACCCTTGCTGTTAAATAATTCTCTCTTAAAAAATCAATCCAAAAGATTATACCAGTAAGTGAGTAAAGAGCTCACAGTATGAATCTAAACATTATACGATTATCATTCAAAGCTTCTGAGCAGTGTGAGTTACTCTGCTAATATACTAAGTTCATATGATTCCAGCTGATAGCAAAATAAATTTGATTTTAAAATTATAGTGTGCTACAGTGAGTTGAGTTAATTTGGTTTCTTTTAGGGTCTTGCCATATCTTTAACTGATTATTTTCTTAAATAGTATATTTAACTTAAATCAGATTAGAGAATAAAGTCATTAGTTCTTTGATTTTTAAAATTAAAAAAAATATATATTTTGATTTGGGAAGGACAGTTAAAACTACCTGAAGAATTTACATTGCTAGTTTAGAGTGATGATAAAAATACAAAATATTGGTAATGACTAATTTGTGGAATTCATGATACTAGTTAAACTAACATGTATGAAGAGCCTGTTACATCCTGTCATGCTTGAACTCTGGACCTGGGTGCTGTCCCTGTGCTCTTCAGCTAAAGGCGAGCGCTCTGTGTCTTGAGCCATAGCACCACTTCCACTTTTCTAGTGGTTTATTGGAGATCAGAGTCTCACGGACTTTTCTGCCCGGGCTGGCTTTGAACCGTGATCCTCAGATCTCAGCCTCCTGAATAGCTAGGATTACAGGTGTGAGCCACCTGCGCCTGGGTTCTCTTAAAGTTTATGATCCCCAGACTCCACCTCCCAAATAGATAGGGTTACAGGCCTAATCTACTAGGCCTGGCTCAGCATGCACTTTTTTTTTTTTTGTCAGTCATAGGGATTGAACTCTGGGCCTGGGCACTGCCCCTTACCTCTTCAACTCAAGGCTAGCACTCTACCACTTGAGCCACAGCACCACTTCCGGCTTTTTTCTGCTTATGTGGTGCTGAGGAATCAAACCCAGGGCCTCACGTATGTGAGGCAAGCACTCTACCACTGAACCAACTTCCCAGCCCCAACTTGCACTTATGAAATGTGAAATTTGCATGACTTTTACACTGTGCCATTCAGGTTTTGATATGATGCTGACAGTGACATGAGGAAATATTCAGTACTAGATATAGGATTGGATGTGTTTTTTCTAAAGTGAAAATTCTACTGTGAGTTGTTGTAGCATTGCAAACATTGAATATCTAAAAGTTCTCTAGATAGAAAATATGAATACTTTTGCATTATGAATATAAAATACAAATTTTGAAATATGAATACTTCATTTCCTCATCTCTAGATATTCAAGAATTTTATGAAGTGACCTTACTGGATAATCCAAAATGTATAGATCGTTCAAAGCAGTCTGAACCAATCCAACCTGTAAATACTTGGGACATTTCCAGTCTTCCAAGCACTACTGTGACTTCAGAAACACTGCCGAGCAGCCTTAGCCCTACTGTAGAGGTAAGATCATTTTCCCCCCTAAAACTTTTTTGTGGTCATTTTATTTGGGCTACTTTAAAAAATGGTATTAAAATAGTATTTTTTGAAATATTTATAATGAAATAAAGAGAGCAGAATTAAACATTCTTAAAAAGTTTTGCTTCTGTCTTAAAAGGTTTTAACTGGTTTCAGATCTGAAATACTTGTTTTAAATAATTAAAAGTAAGACCTCAGTGACACTTCATCTGTGTAATAATATAAAAATTGGGCTTCAGGGCTGGAAAGCTGGCTCAGTGGTAGAGCGCTTGCCTCGCATGCATGAGGCCCTGGGTTCAATTCCTCAGCCCCACATAAACAGAAAAGGCTGGAAGTGGTGCTGTGGATCAAGTGGTAGGGTACTAGCCTTGAGCTGAAGAGCTGAGAGACAGTGCTCGGGCCCAGACTTCAAGCCCCACGACCTACCAAAAAAAAAAAAAAAAAGAAAGAAAGAAATTGGGCTTCAAAAAGATGATATTAGGGCCTGGGAAAGTGGCTCATTGGTAGAGTGCCTGTCTTGCATGCATGAGGCCCTGGGATCGATTCCTCAGCATCACATAAGCAAAAATAGCCAGAAGTGGCACTGTGGCAGTCAGTGGTAGAGCGCTAGCCTTGAGCTGAAGAGCTGAGGGACAGTGTGCCCACACCCAGAGTTCAGGCCCCATGACCGACCAAAAAAAAAAAAAGGAAAGAAAGAAAGAGATGATACTGCTTTGGTGTTTTCTTTGAAAGAATATTGAAGTGTATTGTTTCATGGTTCCTTTAGTTATACCAAGAATTCCTGTTTATTGAGTTTGTAGGGTTGTATTAAAACTGACTAGAGATTGATAAATAATCCTTTAAGTTAGCATTGATTTCTACATTTTTTTGTATTTAAAACCACTTACATTGAGTTTTAATAACTATCTTAGTAATGTTCTTTTCTTGTATTATACTGTTGCTAATAGGGTTGGATTATGGTACAGTGGAGATAATGAAGCATTTTTGTGATGAAGATTCTGCCTGAGAAGTATTAGTCATTTGAAAGTGGTTGCCTTTCTAAATTTGATTCTAGTCCTTTCTTCTTAGAAGTAGACAATGCCTTGAAAATTGAAACTGCTTCTGTTTGGTTAGTAATAAATCAAGAGAAAAGGGATGAGAAGCAACTAGAGATAGCACTTTGGTAATGAAGTAGAAAGTGTTTCAGTTTTCTTTTTTATTAGGTAAAAATTTTTATTTTATTGTAGGATGAATTTTATTGTAGGATGAGTCAGATTACATCTGAAAAAAGGTGAGAAAACTAAAATGAAAAAAAAAAAGACTTGATCCAGCTAATCTGATTTACTTATGTGAATCTGTCTTTTGATTTCAGATCTCTTTAATGTCTACTTTATAGTTCTCTAGTAATTGTGGAATAGCCTAATGTATTTTGCTTTGATCAGAGATTCTGATGGTAGATTTTCTTTACTTCCCCCCCCCACTACTTTCTTTTGCATAATTTCTACTGTTATCCCCTTGTTTAGTTGATGTGTCATTTGTGTTAATGATAGTTCATTTCATCTTTTTCAAATGGAATTAAAAAATATCTGTAGTGAGATACTGCCATGATTTAAATGTACCTCCAAAATCTAGCTTTGCCAATGTGATGGTATTAAGAGGTGGAGCTGTTAAGAGGCGATTAGTTGCTTATCATGTGTGAGGCCCCAGATTCAATCCCCAACATGGCAAAAAAAAAAGGATTAGTCATGAGGGCTGCTTCTTCCTTGTGAATGTAATTAAGGCATTTATAAAAGAGGCTTTATAAAGACTTTAGCTCTGCTCTCTGACATGCACGGGTAAAACAAGAAGGCCCTTGCCAGACCACCCTAGAGCTTAGATTTCTCAGCTTCCAGAACTACAAGAAATACATTCCTGTTCTTTAAAGATTACTCAGTTTCAGGAGTTGTTTTAGCTGCATGAAATAGAATAAAGCAGTTATATAGTTACAGTTTCATATATGTTGTTTTATTTCTTAGTTTAAAAAACATATGAAAATGTTGATCTTTAAGGACATTGACTTTCATATTTAATTACTGTTTTTTCTGTTGTTTGATTTGCTACTCACTTGTGATTATAAAACACACAGTTCTTATTATCTAGTTTTCTATTTTTATAGATTATTTAGCTAATGATTAGATCAATTGTCCAGTAAATGTAAAGATTCATTAAACTAGAATAAATGGACAGTCTGTAAGATAGTAGTTTTTTGGTCACAGATTTCAGTGAGAAGGATCAGCAATATATTAAGTTCCATCAAAAATTGTATTAGAGGATTAGGGGTATTGCTTAATGGTAGGGCATTTGCTTACAATGCATGAGGTAGAGTTTGATTATGCACATCATAAGAAATGAGTAAACAGGGTATTAGAAATATTTGTGCTCTTACCAAAATCTAGAGCACTCATACCTTGAATGCTATGGGGAGGCTTGCTTTCTGCACATTCTAAATGATATATCATAGATATGCTAATAGCACAAATGACTAGAAGAACAAAACATTTCAGATCTTACTAGTTTGGAAAATGGAGGGGAACAAAGTATTGCCTAGGGCATATAGAAAGCAGATGTTTTAGTAGTGTTTGTATCTGTAGCCATTAATGGGTGAATTTTAAGGGAAGTGTTGGGATGTGTCGTTATATAGAGTTTTATTTTTTTGGGGGGTCCGGTCATGGGGCCTGAACTCTGGGCCTGGGCACTATCCCTCAGTTCTTCAGCTCAAGGCTAGCACTCTACCACTTGAGCCACAGCTCCACTTCCAGTTTTTTTTTTTTGCTTATGTGGTGCTGAGGAATCGAACCCAGGGCCTCAGGCATGCAAGGCAAGTGCTCTACCACTGAGCCAACTTCCCAGCCCAGTCCTAGAGTTTTAGAAAGGGAAAAATAAGTATGTTTCAAACTTGAGTAAGCCAAGGTCTGTTAGTAGGAAGTGCTGTTTTCACAGAGGTGACAGAATAACCTGACATCTGAAAGTAAAAGTAGCTTAAAACATTGATAAATAACAAGTATAAAAGCTAAAAAAAATAGCCTGAAGTGTTTGGAGATTTTAATTTCTAATAGTTTGGGGATGCTGTAAGAGATGAAAATATGTTCCCGTTATCTACCATTCATGCATGCTTCAATTAGATGGGAACCTTCACTGAGTGATCATTCACTTGGTCTTTTGTTTTGATCATGTTTCTAACTGAATAAAGACTGAGAAAATCTACTGACTCAAAACAAATACAAAAAAGTTTTTATTGGACTGCAAATTGTAAAATCTAAAAATCTTAAAAACCTAAGGCTTACAGGAAACTTGTTATACTTTTGCACTAAACTGCTGGGTAAAAAAATAATCTTTTTTTTTTTTTTACATGCCACATAGTCTTGCTTCTTTTACTTCATGTTTGCTTTTATAGTACTATCATAAAGAGGATTAATTTTGGGAAAATTGATCAAATTTTACATGGACTTGTGTTTCTTAAAATGAGGGTTTTAGCATTTTAAATTATCCATCCAGTTTTCTGAGAGTTAAAAAACAGTTGGTAACTGACATAACTTTTGCCAGATCCTCTTTTTTTTTTTTGGTTGGTCGTGGGGCTTGAACTCTGGGCGTGGGCGCTTTCCCTGCAGCTTGTGCTCTACCACTTGAGTCACAACGCCACTTCCCGTTTTCTAGTGGTTTATTGGACATACGAGTCTCATGGACTTTCCTGCCTGGGCTGGCTTTGAACTGTGATCCTCAGATCTCAGCCTCCTGAGTAGCTAGGATTACAGGTGTGAGCCACCGGCGCCTGGCTCAGATCCTCAGTTTTGACCTGCAGACCTGATGTAGTATAATTAAAATTAATACTATTTATTTTTTTAAAGAGACATGATTAGTGCCCCATTTTCTTAGTTTGGGGAGCCTTCTTTCCCTCTCTCCTTCCCTCCATCCCTCCCTCCGTCTTTCTTGCTATGTCTGCTTCTTTGAACACAGACTTACTTAGTGAGATGTTTGGAAAAATGTTTGCATAATGTTTAAGTGTTTTTTCTTACGTATTTTTCTGTTACTTATTAAAGAATAGTGATACTTAATAAAGAATGTTATTTAATAAGTTCATTTTTATAAAAATAATTCTGTTTTAAAATAAGAGAGATTCCTTACAATCAAGAGATTGTATTGTAAGGAATAGTTTATATCTGAAAGAAAACAAGATGAAGGTGGGAGAGATTGCCAGATTTACTATCATATTCTGATAGAAAAAAATGTACAGTATATTCCTAAGATATTTCAAGTGGAACAGAGATTTAGTGACTTAACAAATGAAGCCATAAAATAATTTAAAAAATAATTTTGGAATAAGGAAACCTTTTCTAAGCACAACAAAACTAAATGAAAATCTACTACTACTACACACACACACACACACACACTCATACACACATACATATAAAGATTAAGAATAAACTTAATGAAGGAGATTAAAGACCCTACAAGGAAAACCATAAAACCTTCAAGAAAGAAATGGAAGGAGCCACCAGAAAATGGAAAGATCTATGTTCTTAGATCAGTAGAAGTACTATCATGAAAATGGCCAATACTGAAAATACTACTGAAAGCAATCTACAGATTCAATGCAATATCCATCCAAGTTTCTATCCTCCTTTGAAGAAATAGAAAAATTCTTAACTTCATGTGGAAGCATGAAAGACCCCAAGTAGTAAGAGCATTTTTAAGTAATAAAGAGCAATGCTGATGGTATTACAATATTAGACTTCAAATTATTCTATAGCCATCGTAACAAAACAGCTTGGTATGCTAGACTAGAAAAGCAATGGAACAGAATATAAGACCCAGGCATTAAACTACACAGCTACAACTATCTAATTTTCAATAAAGGATCGAAAAACATGCTATAGCAAAGATGGCCTCTTCAACAAATGGTGCTGCTTGGAGGAAACTGAAACTTGACCCTTACCTCTCGTTCTGTGGAGATAAAAATA